AACTGATGCGACGTGCGACGCTTGATAAACGAACAATAAATGCCAGCGTTGGTAAGGTAACATAATTTTCCTTCCGACAGATTTTTGTAATCACAATTATTATACCTACATACATGAGTGGATATGTCTGATATTTAATATAGTTCAATATATATTGGAATCTCAAAAACGGATCATACTAAAATTATATGAAGTTATTAATTGCTTAAAGCTAATAACAAAAATTAATAGTTGTTCATACATTTTGACGGATCAAATTGAAAAATATAGGGTGATTCTGAAAAAGGAATATTTCTTTAATTATTGCTGTATCAAAAACGAATTAGATGTGTCTATTCCATAAAAAGTATTGTTTTCTAGGTATTAAATGCATAATTAATATTAATAACAAATTCCCTAATATACAGAATGTAATGTTTGTTTTTTAAGAAAGGTCTTTCTGTGGGATAAATTAACAATCACCCTATATACATATAATGTAAAATGGGTTTATATATTATCAGAACAGTAAACATTATGTAAGTTTTTATTTTTGACCATGTTTTCATTCCATATCAGAATCTCTCAGAATTTCAAAAATTCCCCCTGATGTAACTGAGTACCACCCTGTATATGTTTACATTTTGAACTATTTATATGCACGTTTGCGTTAGACTAGAACATATTAATGCTACAATCAACTAAAAATGCTTATTTTTTCTTTTTAATTAAGTTACGTCACAGAAGAATATCCTGTGGTTACGTAGTTTTAATAAATACGATTTCACGACTTAACACCCTGTATTTTAAAAACTAGCCATAGGATTGAATTGGTCCCATGAACACTTTTGGTCAACAGGTCGAGTACAACATCATATTCAAAATTTATTACATTTGACGGAACGCCACTTTGCCATTAGAACTGGGCGGGGTCCTTTGGGGATTATATTAAGGATAGTGCTGTTGCGGAATGCATTTATTTTCATTATGATATTTGAAAATTTAAAGCCCTTTGATTTTTTTTCTTGGAAACTGAATGGAATTAAAACTTTAAAATATATGCATATTCTAGATATTATTGCCTAATTTATTTTCCCAAAATTTTAATTTTTTAAAAAAATTACTTTTTGAGATATGCTTGTCCGAAAATTATAAGGGGTGCTGTAATCACCTTAATAGAAGTGATTTCAATGGTTGTACCAACTTTTACATGTTAAACGTGTTTTTCATACATTTATTTTTAGGATTTAGTAGCTCATGTGTCTGAAATATGAAATCTGGGGGAGAGTATTCGCATCCGAGGAATATAAATTCTAGTGAGTCTCAACAAATGGTAATTAGTAGTATTCATTTAATAATTTTATTATTGTTAATTTTATTAATATTTTTTATTAGGATTGTTTTGAGTAAAATTTCTTGAATCTCATCTCCGACATGCAGATGAGCTAAGAACAAAGCAACTGTCAAATGGAGAAGAAAATATTTTAGTCGGACAATTAGCTGCAGGGGTGACAAACAGGATAATTCAAGATGCCAGAAAAATCCAAAATAATACAATAGAAAGAATAAACTTGATAACGAGAGCGGACTTAGCATATTTAATAAGGAAGTATAATATTACAAAAAAAAGAACTTGATGATATGACAGCTAATACTATGAAAATTGAAGAATGGAGGCAAGGAAAAACTACTTATTTTTATTCAATACAACTGGTAGGTATGTATACAAAAATACATGTAAAAATAACAATTTTGATAGGGTTAAAGGTGTAGATGGTGAAGGTTTTTATTTTAGGTGAAAGTTACCCTGGATTAAAGGATGAAAGACCACACTTTGAGTAACACTGCTTTCCTTTTTAGCATATATTTTTTTTAATAAAAGGCTCATATAGGCTCTTCTCGGGAAGGGGGGATGGCCACTATCCCCCCCCCCTAGAACCGCCCTTGTAATGAACTTACATGGCTTCCAGTTGGATTTTAACAACAGAGTAATCAAAATTATTGCCGAAGAGGTATTCCTACATCCATATGGGGACAGTACCATGTAAGTTGCTGTACAGGAGGATACAGTGGTACATGTCAGAAGTGAAACCATTATAGTAGCATGGCTTCAAGTAACTATGGAAGAAGGAACATCTGTCATGATGGAACCTTAGAACCACAATGAAGAGGTTGGACGAGGAATTCTGATCGGAAAGGGGTTGGTCACGACTGCTAAAGATTCCAGTCCGTCTTATAAACATTAATGATCACCCAATTACCATCAAGAAAAATACCAGAATCGGAACTTATGTACCAGTAACTTCCTTAATTCGTCAGACAACAACTTCTGATAATTCCAACGACAAATTTGAGCAAATGATTGCAGTTGCTGGTCAATCTTTGAATCAATTAGAGAAAAAGGAATTTCTTCGTCAATATTGTGACATTTTTATACCAAAAGGGGGAAAACATGAAGAACTTACAATAATAGTTACAATAATCAATGTATTTTTTAGTTTCTCGAGATATAAGCTGAAATTAAAAAAAAATATTTAACTTTTCGGATTTTGAAATTTTGTAATAGATCAATCAATCCGCAAAATCTTCTATTTATTTTATTGAAGAAATGCACACAATATTTTACATTGAAATTTATTTTTAAACCAAAAATTCAAAATGATTGTTTATTGTATTTCGCTTTTAATATTGTATTGTTTTAATGCATTATTATTTAGAAGTTGGGTAACGACACAATATTTTTCAACATTAAAGTATTTGAGTTGCCACAATAATGCAATAAATTCGGTTTTTCAAGTAGAATATTCCAGAAATATTTGTGAAATTCCATGGCAACCTCTATCCCATTATAGGCATTCTTTTCTAAAATATTTTCAACAGGCTAAATCATTTTAAAGCTACCATTTGGGAAGGCGAGACCGAGACCAACTTCGCGAAACGACAGCGAAGGAGACCAAAAACGGCCTCTTCACGTCTGAACACATGTAATTATATGAAACATATTTGGGAAAGCACGACAGATGACGCCACTTTTAGTACTGTGGGATTTGCCACTTGCTGCCTGTCATCTCTCTTTGTCCTGTGTTTCCAAATGGTAGCTTTAGGGGTAAAGTAGTGATGCTGGTATGTCAGCTGCATGGATGGCATTATGAATCATAACAATTCATTGGCATTCATTTTGTGAACGTTGTGAGAAGAAGCAGGTTTTCAAGATATTTTTAATGGTTCGAAAATATGGACTCCTCAGAAATATGGTTTTTGTAGGGAAAAAATCCAAAGATTTTAATAATTAACATGCAAAAATAATGAAGCGTAATATCAATATTTTTATAATGTTTTTTTTTGTTTGAAATTATTTGTACAATGTAAAAAAAATATATAAAATCATCGCGCCATAGAAATCATTTTGAAATGGCACACTTGTGGTCACTGGCATATTTACCATATTTGCAGAGTGTTCTGCTCCGAATTTTTGCCTGACAATTAAATTACGGGGTCAAAAGGTCTATAGAATAACATATTTAATTGTCAGGCAAGACGGAAAAATAAAAATATAATTTAAAAAACTACATGTTTGGTTTGCCTTTACACTCCCTTCCGCCTGAGATTATTGTCTGGTTATATACTTTATATTACTTTATTTCAGGTAAAATACGAAGTTTCAATCAACTTCCATTATTAAAAATTTGGAATACTATTGTACGACTTTAGGGTGATCTTACACCCCTTTCTATCTACCCCCCTATTCAAACGTTCGAGATGGCAACTTATTACCATTATGGCAACCGTTTTGCAAATTTTCAGCCTACTTCGAGTAATAAAAGAAAAATGTTCACTACAATAATTTAACCACACATCATACTTTTTTATTTCTAACACTAAAACAGTTGCTGATGACTGATGAATTTAAGCAAGTTTCAACCAACTTGCAACAATAAAAATTTCGACTGCTATTGTAGGACATTAGGGTGATCTTACACCCCTTTCTGCCTATCCCCCCTATCGAAACGTTCAAAATGGTGACTGATTACCCCTATGGCAACCTTTTTGCAAATTTTTAGCCTACTTGGGGTAATGAGGCTCTCCAACTATTTTAAACCTAATTTCTCAACTGTGTTAGATATAAAAAAGTGTGATTTGTGGTTATTGTACTAACTTTAAATCTTATAACTCTTGTTCTATGTCTTTATTAATCATAATTGTGAGATAGTATAGATAGAAGCAGTTAGGACATTACCATTTCATTTTTAATCATATGTCAAATTTTATGCTTGATTAAATTTTTTGTATAAACTTTTAAAATTGTTAAATATATGTTTATGATTAGATTTGCTTACCTATTGATAAATAAAGCTGACTAAAGGCATCTTATGTTCAAGTTCTCAGTACTTTAGTTTAAACTATTAATAAGTTCGTCAAGATTAGGTTCAAATGTTAATTTAGGGACAATAATTGAAACGTACATCTTCAAAAATTTAACAAACACAACTCAATTTCATTCGACCTTTTTTATTGTGCTACTTTTCATATTTAAGTAACAGAACTTGGCCCTTGGCCACACAGAATGTGGCTTAATTTTAAACAGGTTTCAACTTGATCTTGAAACATTTTCTGCTTTCTCTTTCCCTTATTATTTTGGGTCATTGTCTAGTTTGAGATATTTGCTTATGAAGAAACTAAGCATAGATACTTGTAGGTATCTCTATTTTAAACAAAAAATCTTAGTACCTATTTTGTGCAAATTAATAATAAAGAGACAATTAAATTTTTTAAATAAAAATATTTCTCAAATTGTCTCAATTCAAAGCTCAGAGAGGCTACTTTTACGTCTTCCACTGTTACCAAGTTACCTTCGACAACAGACAAATCATTACAGAAGTATAATTGAAAAGTAATATACATTTAGTATAAATATAATGGTCGTTTAGAAAACAGCCTTCAAATATAGATAAATAGTCAAATTGAATTTGGCAATAAATAAAATAATTTGACTGGATCAAGAAAAATTAATATTTAATTACCTTTTTTTAACTTTTGTATTAAAGCACTTTTTTCTTCTAAAACTTAAAGTGTTATTCGATTTTACAAAATACTTTTTATATTTTATCAACAAGACTCAAGACACCGTTTTGCGTTCTCTCTCACTGAGTCACTGACGTTTGACGTTTCCACGACGTCCTGATTATTCTTGACTGTTCTACATTTGACATTTAACATTATTTTACTCACAGATCCGGCGTTGCCAACAATAGAAAAATGAAAGTAGTGTTCGCAACATTTGTTGTGGAAGTATGGAAGCGGGCACAAGGGGGAAGGTGAATTCCCCTCTTGTTCAGTAGCGTATCATATTTTTTTCTAAAAACACACCTAATCCAAAAAATTTAAATTCTAAAAAAAAACTAAAGAATTCGCTAATTTTACTATTTTTAAAATGTATACCGTCTTATGGGTAATGTTGTAGTTGACGGGTCTAGAAATGCGCATATTCACACCACTCTGCACTGACGTCTAGAATTTGAATTTGCTCAAGCCACGTTGCCAAATCTCCACTTTCATTTTAGCTTGCTTTATTTCATAGTTTATTATTTAGACAAATTGTAACCTCTGTAAATTAAAATGTATGATAAATAAATATAAAGATTTATATTATATTTTGAAATAACAATTCTGTTTTGTTTTATAAGACAGTTTTAATAGATTTTAAATTTAAATTTTGTAATTATCACTATTGAAAGGTATTATTGACATTAAAAATAACGATCGTATTACTTGAAAATCTTTAGAATTTTTTTAATTTTATGAGATTTTTAATCGATGTAAAAATTGGTAAATAGATGATTACAAGTAAAATAGTTATTTCAATCTGCTTATTCCCTGATTCCAAATAATTAAATATAACCTGGCAACTATGTAACGATTCCAACTGACAGAACTAGTCGGAACAGCAATGGTGCGGACTGGCGCATTTCCAGACCCTTCAACTACAACATTACCGTCTTATGTGTGTCTGATGCATTAAATAAAACAAAATTACTGTAAAGGTCTAATTTTTTCAATTAAAGAATAAACCCTCAAAACCAATACATCAATCTTATTATAAATAAATACAGGAGACTAGTTTCGGCCTAACAGAGACATCTTCAGGCCTATAATACAATAATCCTTAATTATTTTAATAGGAACGATATAAGAATAGATTGCATTAAAATTAAACAGTGTATAAATCATAAAAATGAACCCATGTAGCATTACAGTATTGTAGAATTAAAGCTGTGGAAAAGGAAAAATAAAAGAGCAGTGCAAACTAAATTAAAAATAAGAAAAATTAGTACGGAATCTACAAGAGAAGAGGTTAGAATGAGCAATTACGAATGCATTTAAATTGATCGGGATAACAAATAAGGCTGATAATGTATCAAAGAAGGGCCGATGTGAAAGAGGACTCGGCATTTTATTTGTAAATCTTGAGAATGTAAGGATTGAGGTGTAGTATTACTTTGTAAATGAAACACTGTCTTTAATTGAAGGTATAATCAACATATAACAACAAATCTTTAAGCAGAGGATAGGAGAATGCTTTGTGGTCGTCCTCTCTCCTCGTTGTCAGTCACGTTGCTGTCCTTCTTGTCAGGTCAGATCTTGTCAAACGGTTGTGGCTACTGGCACTTCGTCCGAGAAAATACCACAGAAGGAAGACGAATCTTGCTTACTCAGGTGTAGATAGGCTCTAGCCTTTTTCTAAAAAGGAGAGTGTAGATGAAAGCTCCAGTAAATATCGCCATTTTTGTCTAATTTTTTATTCTCACTCACTGTTTCGGCTTTATATACCTTCGAAATTTATTTTCAAAAATAAGACTGATCAGTGATCATTAATACAAGCATATAATAAAACAACGTGAATTCATTATATTTAATAAGCTAATAAAGTTTGTTTCAATGAAAAAACATATGAGAATATAAAAAAATAGATAAGAGTATAATATCAAAATCAATTTGAAAATACAACATACAGAGATAAAATGAAATAAATTAATACATTTACAAATAAAAAATTAATAACATATCTTCTAAAAGTAACACATTTTAAGTAGATAAATGTTTAAAGAGTTAAGGATCCCTGAACATAAAACTAATCTGACGTTTTCCCGCTTTTTAATATAATGAAGGTTTTTGTAGTTAAAATGAAAATTATAATTTATTTTTGGTCCTAATAAAAATTTAAACATAGGTTATCAAAGAGGAAAATACATACAGAACTCCATAATCTTAAAACGTTATCAAACATTGGTAATGGTAAATCTTCAAACAATAACTACATTCTTAAACAAATTTCTTGTTTTTGTTATATGAAAAGACTTTTTTGGCTTCTTCGGTTGCTTCTGTCACTTTTCTTTCGACGTGAATTTCACTATATATAGAAACCAGGAGAACCATCAATTGGTTGGTAACATTTTTATATTTTGGGTCTGGTAGAAGGTAAGTCTTGTTAAACTTGCTTCTTACGTAGCTGTAACCTTTTAGAGAATAAAAATTTAATGTCTTAATTGAGAATTATATTTGTGAAGGCCATTATAATAATATTTTCAAAAGTTATTGGAATCGTTGTTAACAGAAACCTGCAAAAAATATATTATTTTATTCGTAAAATATAAGATATCACAAAACATTCATATATCATTGTGCTAGAACAATAGTAGATAGGTACTACGGCAATTTAAAAAAGTAATTTCGGAAAAATCAATAACTTTTAATTTCATCATTGTACTTAACTTTTTTATTGCTTATAAATTATTAATAATGTCATTTTGTATAATTCGCTGTGATTTGTATAATATATATTATAAAAACCTATCGTCAGTGTTATTAGGTACCGATTTTTTTTAATAATTATCTTGTAATATGTCCTTGTTCTAGTAAAAACACATTTAAATTGAACTGTTCCACAGGTTCTCGGACAGTTTGCATCGACTTTTAAAGAAACCCGAACAAACCTGCTGTCTCATTGAATGCAGCTATGTGTTGGACACATCGAATTTTTAGTATTACGGATCTGTCGCACATACGTGGCTCAAACTTACAAACCATCCCTCCACTGAACCATGGAAGAAGGATGAGTTGCCGTTTCTTTGTATACATATGGCAAAATGTTTGCGTTTCTTTGTATACATATGGCAAAATGTTTGCTATCAGCGCCATATGGGAGGGATTTGTCCAATTATTTCTGTCGGTAATATTGATACCTGCATATTTTATTTTATTTAAAAATTAGCTGGATTTTTGTTTGTAGCTCTACTTTAATTAGTATTACTAAAATTTTGCATTTTTATTGGCATTTTTTACAACACAGACAAGGTGCAAGATGTAACAAAATGTCAATCAAAATGTAAAATTTTATGATCCATAATTTTAGGAAGGGTAAAATAATGTAATATTAAATAATTGTATTATCTATTATATCATTAAAACTAATTTATAATAAATTTTTTAAATAAACAATATTTTAATAAAACAACTAAAACTTTCTGTAAACTTGGGTAGGTAACAAAACACATGAAGGAGGAACCATCCATATAATCTGAAACAGAAAAAAATTCAAAGCAGTATTTTAACTTCATATCATTTTAAATGTCTTTTTTCTTTTAGATATTGTCACAGTTTTATAGTGTGTGTGTGTGTGTGTGTGTGTGTGTGTGTGTGTGTGTGTGTGTGTGTGTGTGTGTGTGTGTGTGTGTGTGTGTGTGTGTGTGTGTGTGTGTGTGTGTGTGTGTGTGTGTGTGTGTGTGTGTGTGTGTGTGTGTGTGTGTGTGTGTGTGTGTGTGTGTGTGTGTGTGTGTGTGTGTGTGTGTGTGTGTGTGTGTGTGTGTGTGTGTGTGTGTGTGTGTGTGTGTGTGTGTGTGTGTGTGTGTGTGTGTGTGTGTGTGTGTGTGTGTGTGTGTGTGTGTGTGTGTGTGTGTGTGTGTGTGTGTGTGTGTGTGTGTGTGTGTGTGTGTGTGTGTGTGTGTGTGTGTGTGTGTGTGTGTGTGTGTGTGTGTGTGTGTGTGTGTGTGTGTGTGTGTGTGTGTGTGTGTGTGTGTGTGTGTGTGTGTGTGTGTGTGTGTGTGTGTGTGTGTGTGTGTGTGTGTGTGTGTGTGTGTGTGTGTGTGTGTGTGTGTGTGTGTGTGTGTGTGTGTGTGTGTGTGTGTGTGTGTGTGTGTGTGTGTGTGTGTGTGTGTGTGTGTGTGTGTGTGTGTGTGTGTGTGTGTGTGTGTGTGTGTGTGTGTGTGTGTGTGTGTGTGTGTGTGTGTGTGTGTGTGTGTGTGTGTGTGTGTGTGTGTGTGTGTGTGTGTGCGAAATTAAAATTTTTCACTATTTTCGTTTTCAATGAATATCTATAGAAAAATGTTTCGAGGTAGATGTATGTGGAAAATGTATATATTTAGTTTTTCCTCCTCTAAACATTTATAGAGGTGCTGCAATAGGTTGTACAAAATAACCGGAAAAAGCCTGTAATAACTAGATAGGAAAGTCATGTGTTGGACACATCAGATTTTTTAATTAGATGTAGTACTTTTAAAAAAACAGATGCCTGTGGGATGAAGCTTTGAGGTCCTTCTTTGATTCGCAAATTTTACTTTGCTCTTTTCTAATTGGTTAAATTCTACAATTTCACCAGTAAAAACATCAACAAATTAATATTTTACATCTACTAAATAAATAAATAATTCTCAAATAGTTCGACTGCTTTTTACCCTAATATAATGTGAAGTCATAAAACTATAAATAGCATTTTTCTTAGAATACCGAGCGTCGAACACCTGTGTGCACAGCTGTGCAGTGGAACAAAATGAGTGTCCGGCGCATAGTTAACGAAACACAAATGACGTATTTCATTATGTCATGATGTTTTCATTGGTTGAAACCGAATAGGTGCGTCAACTATGCCCCGGATACTCATTTCATTCCAACAGTATATAGGGTGAGCTCGACGCGGAGTTCAGTTGTCTTATTGCCACAAGCGAGTTCAGTTGTCTTATTGCCACCAACGATCAACGATTCAGTTTTATTTTTGCCATCATCGCTCACAGTTGTCGTTGCTATCCGAACGTTCAGGTGCTTTCTGCCGACGGCACGTTACTTTCTACATTTTTACAAGCGTTTAATGCATTTTATTTTCTGGTGAAAGTTATTTCTTCTTCAATTGTTATGGCATAAGAAATTC